TTTTTATACCTTCTAGCGATCCTTTTAGCTTCCCTTGATTGCTTCTTTCCTCAATTGTTTTCGTTCAGTTACCCTCCCACGCGCAGTGTTTTTCAAACAAATTTATTTTTTATTTCAATTAGCATTGCTTAATACATTTCGTTTCACACCAACCCAAGTTGTCTGACGTCTCACCTGATGACGCTTTTTGTTGAGTTGTGTTGGCGTGTATGTGAATGGCCTCTTTCGAAAAAAAAACACTCCTAGTATAAAAATGTTTATCTTATGGTATGTGAGTCAGGCGAAGAAATTTAGATACAAGTTTAGAATATCTCATTTCTTTTGTTATATGCATTTGTTCTTAAAATACAATCTCTTTTGGGCTAAATTAACCGCTACTTCCAGAGTAGCTGCAAGGTAATCGAAAAAAAAACATCACAAAAATACCCTAAATTATGTGACAAAAAGCCTTAAAAAATGTTGTTTTTTTCGTGCCATTTTATACGCTTTGCTATTTATAGACATGAAATTAGAATCGTTTTACGGTAAAAAAAAATATTTTCTTTTATTAACATTATTAGAATTCCAGCAAAAATTGCTTTTCCCAACATATATGTAATTAGGTCTTAAAAAACGTGTGGTTTTAATCACTTTCGTGCAACTTTCAGTCTTTTTCCAAAGTTAATAAATTTTAATCAGTACAAGTTTTTTCACATTTCAAATTTGAGACTTTGTTGATGTTGAAAATGATTTTTATTGAGCTATTAATATTCTTTATGATTTCAATAAAACTCGTGCGAATCAGAGTTGGATTTTATTGAATCAATAATTTTTTCATGTTAATTAAATTCATAAGACGCGTGTGTGGGGTCAAAAAAGTTTCACGTCCTGAAGAGCTCAAATAAAAATGATAAAAAAATAGTCAAATTTATAAATATTTTATTTTCGGTTAGCAAGAGTTCTCAAGCCGGTTTTCTATGTTTAAAAATAGCCATTATTTGCATAAATGTTTATGCTAAAAATGTTTAACTAATTGATTTCAAGCTCTAGACATTATTGTAACAGCCGCAGACAAGAAGCGATACTCTACTCTGTATAGTTCCCGCTTTAAAGCTCTGAGAGGGAGACAAAAATATATAATTAGAATGAAAAATATGCAAAAAAGTGAATTTTACTCAAATAATTTTCGTAGTTTTCACTAACTCACTACTAATCAATGAGTTTGTAACAAATGTGCTGCAAATATTAATAAAAGAGAGAGATTGCAGTGTTGCCAGATCTAACTTGTATATATTTAAGATAATAGTTCTTAAAAAAACCTTTTCGACCTACACGGTAGTTCTCTGCTTTTGTGCTTCCACTGCTCATTGCAACTCACGAGTTTTTAAATATATATTCCTTCTCTCTTCTCTCGCACTCTCAACGCATATCTACCGGCTTGTGCTACCGAATGACGTAGAATAAACTGGCCTACTGCTCCCACTACACCGCGTGATTTATGATATAAACTTACCTACCCTTTTCATTAGCCGCTACTACTCCCAGCGCGTTTCGTTGTGTCTAGCTTGAGTGGCGAAATAGTAAGTGTGACGCTTTGATTTACGGCATACTCATTTGTCTTATGCATTTTTATCTTATCGCTGTTGTTTATTTGCCAATGAACTTAAAAACGCTCTCACACGAACCCACAGCGACACACACACAATGTCTCTCATACGATCTTGAGCTAACGGAATGCTTGCGATCGCCATCTCACACGCTAATTGTTGTGCTCGCTTTCAATTTCGTGTGAGCGCGCAGAGCGTTGAAAAGATATGAATGATAAACATTTCGTGTGAGAGCAGCGTTTATCCATGAAAAAAGAAAAAATTAGACACTCTCTGTCTTTTGCAGGCGGCATTTTTTTCGTCTGAGTATATATAATACGGCCTGTTGCTGCGGCAATGAATTTATTAGTGAAAAAGATTTTGCAAAGAGCGCAACAACTATTTTGAGCGAATTGAAAAAGCAAAAGAATATCAAAACTGAACAAGTGGTGAAATAAAGTTCAATAAACGCAGAAAATTAAATTAATAAATTAAATATTAAATAATTTTCGAAAACGTCAACCGGCATCAATCGAATGGTTAAGGAAAAAATTGTTAATCATTTCCTGCGCCAAAACTACAATTGGAGTGCCACTTGGGAACGCGCTCAAAGGCATTTTGATAAACGCTGAAAGACGAAACCATATTAAAAAGATTTTGAACTGAAAATCTATTTTTTGATTTATAATTACATTAAAAAGACAAAAATTGAAAAATATTGAATATTTGTCATAAATTTGATATAAAAAAGAAATAAAGAATTTGTGCGCGTTGCAATAATTGAATTCAATTGAAAGCAATCTGTGATTAAGACATAAGAATCGCTTATACAAGCAGTCGAACGTTGGAAAACGTACTAACAACGATCAAACCAAAATTGTGTAAAATTGAAGATAACACATACCGAAAAAAAGATATAAAAATAATTGGCAAATAGCGATAAAGTGATTTGCAATTTGAAAATACATACATTCCATCTGATTAGAAGGGGAAAAAGTGTATTTGAAAATCAATTACCGAAAAATCTAGGAAAAAGTGCAGTATTTGGTAGAAAAGTATTTTAATTTTATGGAAATGACTCCGAGGCTCATCACTTATTTCCTGGTATGTTCCTTTTATTATACATATGTATAATTTCAATTATTTATTTTGATTTATTGACGTTATCAATATATGTTTATGCAATAAATCACGCTGTGGAAGGCCAAACTAAAAGAGAGCATGAAAGGCAATAAATTAATTTAGCGATCATAATAGGAGAACAATTATAACAGAAAATGGAGCAATATATTATAAAAAAAAAAATTAATTATATTATATTGATATATAAACAATATATATTTATTTTTAGATTTTATATTTTATTTGTTTATTTTTTAATTCAAACAAATCCCGATTTTATTAGTGCAAATAATAAAAGTAAATATAAAAAAATGCGAGCTGCCTAAAGTATAACAAATGCTGTTTTCAATGCGTCAGTATTTACGAAAATCAGCTTTGTTTCCTTAACCACACCTTTTTTATAAACTTTTTTTCGTTTTGTTATGATGTATGTGTGTACCTATTTCGCTGATTAGATTGCTGCGTTTAAACATAAACATTTGTTTTATTTTATATGTAAACTCAGCCAAAAGTAGTTTTCGCAAGAACTAGTTGGTAATTAGTTTTATGATGCTATCATTATCTAAACAAACTGCTGTTGATTTCTAAACAACAACTTTTCTAACATTAATATTAAACTCAGGCTCAACTAGTGACTTTTGAATCAGTTGACAACTAGTTGTTTATCATTTTTCTAAATTTTTGCAACTCAGCCCAAAGTCACTAGTTTGTAACCATTCAAGATTTTCACATAACATACATTACTGTTTCGTGAATATTATAAAAGGTGTTTTTTTTAAACATTGCACTGATCTTAAGGGAATGAGTTTCGGTCTAGTTTTGTAGCTAATTCAAAAAACGAATCTTCGCAACATTTAACTTAATTTAAAGCTATTAATACACTGCCATAGTGGTAGTAAACTAAAATGTCTATATAAATTATTTATTAAAAGCTCATACTAATTGTGTCGTTATTTTTTTAATTTGTCTCATATATTAATATTAGTGTACATAAAATTCAGTTGGTCAACGCATGCTTACTTGCAGAAAAAACAGATGTTCACTCTTACCTTATAATTATTGCTGATAAGAAATGAGTCATGGTTTTTGTAGCAAGAACATAATTGATCTATTGTTAAATGTAGAATAAAAAATAAAGAAAAATTTATAAATAATTAATAGCGGTAAATATATATATAGAGTTATTAAAAACTGAAAATATACATTTTTGCAGTATTTTTAACGCCTATCTGCACAGCCTGTCAACGCTTAATTAATATGTCTCACTATCTCTCATTCACTATCTGAGTAAAATATAATCGAGAAATAGCAAAATATTTCTTCTAAATGCTAATATATCACATAGAAAAATAATTTAATTGTCTATTAAATACCGCATTGCCACCTCATGCTGCTATTATTATTTAATTCTCTGTATTAAAGAAATTCCGTCGCTAAATGAAACTCGCTAAATATTACACATACGCCCCACCCTCCCATAATGCTGCTGGCTCAAAGTGCATTACTGCATACAACTGTTAAAGTCCAAACAGTTATTATGTTAATTGTTATTAATTCAACACTTTTAACAACTTGCTTATAATTTTTTTTTCAAATTATTGCCACGCAAACACAAATTATTTAAGCGAAAAAAAAAATAGTCACGAAAGCAGTAGACAGCGGCACGCTTATTAGCTAAACGATATGTATTGTTGTTGCTATTTTGTAAATTTCAAATTAGTTAATTATTTGTGAGTCTTTTTCTTAAAAATTCTTATGAAAATTTGTTCTCATATAAAAAAATATTATAAAAATAAATAATGTGTTCCATTGGTTTTTTTGTTTGTTTTCAACTTTTTTAATAAACTCAAAACTGGCTTCTCTTGGAGTTGTACGTAACTAGTTCAATAGTAACTTGTTTAAGCAAACAGAAATTATTTTTGTTTTTCTCCAAGTCTACGGAATTTTGTTAAATTCAATTTAAATGATTGTTTTAGAACTAGTTTGTAACTAGTTTGATATCGTATACAAAAATTCGTTAAGGTACAGAATTTTATAAGCCACGTAAGCCTATATCATCGCGTAACTCTACCTGAAATAGTAGTTTTTTGGACTAGTTTCTTATTAGTTTAATAAATTTAAGGTACGCTCCCTACCTTACTTTATGTAAGTGCTAATCTTAGTTTTGAATTTGATCGTTGAATTTTTAAAATTTCCATTTATGAACTACTTTATAACTAGCTTAATTTAAAGATTTCTTACATTAAGATATAGATTTATGAATTAAATAAAAAACTAACCTTTCTCCTTTATTCTTTTTCGTCATCTTCACAGTGCGGCATGCGCCATCCTACCACAGGACTTAGCGAAGACGACCTTAGTCGTCTCACTGGTTCATCCTCATCGACAGCATCTTGTGACAGTAATTCATCAAACTCCTCCTCTTCATCATCATCGTCTTCTTCTTCGTCGTCATCGGCGGCGAATACACCCGCACATAAAGAGGGCGTCGAAAGCGAGCTTGTACATCACCAACACCACCACCATCATCATCACCACCACATGCTTGCGACGAGTCCTGATAAAACTACAAATAACACATTAGCCCTAGTCGCCAGTACACTCAAGCAAAATAACAACAACATCATCAGCATTAGTACTATTCATAACAATAATAACAACAACAGCAACAATAATAATGGCACGCATACAAATACAACAACACGTTTTAGTTCAACATATCTACCCGAACTTATAAATCCGCTGGAATGGCAAAAATCACGTAAGCGCAAAGAACGCCTTGACAGCACCTCCTCAGCAACTGGTCAGGATCGCAAGTTGCAACGCTCGAATAGCGAAGAGCTACTCACGCAAGAGCAACAAACGGCTACCGTTGTGGGCAGTGCAGATGCACTAAACGCCGGCAGTAATGCGTTGAAGTCTAACAAGAGTGCGGATGTGATTAGACGCGTCTCATCAGAGGATTTTAAGAAGACCGCCTCCTATGCTATTTACGAGCAAGAGTTACGCGAAGCGGCCGAGTGCCGTGCAGCGGACTTGAAGCAACGCCAACTTCAGCAGCAGCAGCAGTGCGCTGCTACGAATGAGAATGACGGTGCATTGGCCAACCGTCAGAAGCAGCAACCAGCCTCACAGCAACAGCAGCAGGAGGAGACCGCACACGCGCCCGTCTATCGCGACTCGTGGCTCAGTGGTCCCACCAAAGATATGACGCGCCGCTCCCGCTACGAAACTAGCCCGGCGCGCTCGCAACGCTTCTCACCTGTGCGCACGAACGGCGCTAATGGCGGTGGCAACAGCAGCAAGCATCGCGATAGTGACGATAGCGAATGCGAGCATGAGCGTCGCCGCAGCAGCGAGCGTTCATGCAAATCACGCCAGCCGCCTGGCCGCAAGGTGGGCGTGGTGAAGAAGAGTAGTGCCGGAAGCGGCAGCAGCAGTGCCGCAAAGTATTTGGCTACCTCTAAGCGATTCGACGAGAACGCCGCCTACAAATACGATCTCTCCACATTGAAGTATGAACGCCGCGGTTTTATTAGCAAGAAAGGCAGCATCGCCAACAGCAGCAGCAGCAGTAATGACAGTGCGAATAGCAGCGGCCACGAGAAAACCAACGATCATAATGACAATAATCTAATTGACTTCCATCAGCAGCCACAAAAACAACACCAACACGCCTCAGGTGCGCAGTCACAATCGTCAGTTGGCCCCACACCCGCCGCCACACAACTGCAATTGAAAAGTGTTAATGGCATTGCAACGTCGGCGGTGGCAGCACCACAAACAGTTAAACGCGCGAGCGCCATTAACAGTGCCTACAACAGTGTGCCACTAACGGCCGCTCAAGAGGCTCTGCCATGGGGACGCAGCGTACCCGAAGATGCCACACCGATGTTAAGTCGCCGTTATGCGCCCGTGCGTCATCATCCCGTTGATAATCTCGATTCGGCAGCAAAACTATCCAAGGTTATGCCATACCCACAACAGTTTCACAAACAATCCGCAGCACAGCGCGCTTTCGATGACGACATGGATTGCATGGATTCACTAAGCACTTTTCGTGCCTTTACCTCGCGCGATGTTATGGAACAAGTTATACCGGCTATGATGTCCTTTCAATCACCGGAAGAGCGTCTCAAGCAGGTTAATAAACGTTTGACGGCATTGAAAAAGAAGCTCGTACAATTGGAAGAGGCTTATGAAATGCGTGTCGGTTATCGTCCGTCACAAGCCGAACGTATGAATGATAAATATATGAAGAATATTTTGGCAGACATTAATAAGCTGCGCAAGGAACGGCAGGAATTGAAAACCGATCCGATGGGCGCGTTGGGAATGAAAGTGAGCGGCGGCATGGATGCCGCCAAGAAGTTGGAGAAAATGAAAACGACGCTGCAGGAAATTGAACAGGTAAAGGGAAAGTGATAATAAGAGATATTAAAGTGAACAGTTATTGTTTTTATTTTATTCAGATTTTTATTTTTTATTATTTTTTACTTTACAATTTACAATTTTATAATATTCAGAATTTTTTTAAATTTTTTTAATTTAATTTAACTAAACTAACTATTTTTCAACCATTTTATTAAATTCTGTAAATCATTTTATTTTTTTATTTAACTTATTTATTTTTTATTTATTTAAGTTATATTAATATTTTATTGATATTTTATTTTATACTGTAAATTACTTTTTATTTAATTATTTTGACTTTCTTTATTTAGATATATGATTTTATTATCCTTTTTTATTTTAGTTTTATTTATTATACTTTATATAATTTTTTTTATTTAGTTGAAATAATTTATTTTTATTTTATTTATTTAAATATAAATTTTATTTTGTTTTACTTTATTTTTGATATTTTTTTATTTATGTTGTTATTTATATTATTTAATTTGATTTAATTTAATATTTTATTTTGTTTTATTATTATTTTATTATTTCATTTTTATTTCTATTTTTATTATTATTTTGGCAATCATTTGATTTGTTGTACTTTATTTCATTTTATTTTATTGTACTTTGTTTATTTCATTTTAATATATTTTATTTTATATGAATTTATATTTATTTCGTTTTATATTTTAATTTTATGTTTTATTTTTTTATTTATTATTATTTTATATTACTTTAATTTGTATTTAATTTAATTTTGTTATTTAAATTTGTTTTTATATTACTTCGTTCTTATATTATTTTGAATTTTATAAGATTTTCCTAAATATTTTTTTTTTAATTTTTTGTATTTTTTTATTTTTTTTTTTTTATTTTTTGTATTTTTTTTTTAAAGTAATGTAGTTCCATTTATATACACCAGTTTATATACATGTCTGCTTATAATTGGACGCGTACACAAATTTTTCCGTATTTTTTAACCACACAAGAAATGCACATACATATTTATGTCGAGTATAGACAAATTTGTAACAGAGCAAAAGAAATAAAATGAAAAATAAGCAACCTGGTGCATATACGCATACGCATATGTATGTACATTCATAAAATCAGACCCGCAAGCACCATAGCGAAGTCACATACATGTGTGTACATACACGCCCACCTGCTTATAAATATTTAAAAATTTAAAAAATTCGCAGCGGCAGCGCAGTACACGTCATACGTCACGTGTGTACGCCATACATTTCAGTTCAGTGATGTTCAATTTTGCTAAAATTAAATATGAAAAAAAAATAAAAACAATAACACTTAGTTATGTTTACTTAAGCGACGATGAAACAGTAAATTTGCGAAATAGACACTCACTTGTCATTAGCGGTGTTTTTAAAAATAGAAATAATGATATGTGAAATGATGTAATAAAAAGTAATTAAGGGAAAAATTAAGACAGAGAGCAAAAGTAATGATAAATAAATAAAATAAATATAAATTTTTATTTGCAATATTTAGTTTTTTCTTAACGTCAGCAAGATTTTTGTTATCTAAAAAATATATTAAAAAATTTCAATACTAAAATTCTTTTATTTTAAAATCTGTCAATTTTTTTCGCTCTAAAAATTTTAGTTTACTTTAAAAGTATTTCATCAGCAACGAATGTCTGAGCACTTAAGCCGGTATGTGTCAAAAAGAAATTTGTGAAATTTTCCATTCTGCGCTGTCCACTTTTGGGCATTTGATGTGCCTTGATTTTTGAAAATCATTTGTATGCGCCCAGTTTTCGTACGTCTATACTTTTGGCGCGCCACATTTGTGCTCGAAAAAATTCCTTATTTAATTTTAGAATAAATTTTGCAAAGATTAATAATATTTATAGCCTGTAGATGCCTTGAAGTGACTCACTTGCTAGAAGAATTTATTTAGTACATATTTGATATGAAAAGAAAAATAAACAAAAATTAAATACTTTCTTCTAATATATAAATAAGTGCTTAATTACGTTAAATAATATGTTTTTACACTACTATGAGTGTCAAAAAGTTATTTTAAAGTTTTTTTTTCAAAGCAGTTAAATACTAGCTGGCTCAAGGATCTTATTCATACTTATTTTTGCTATTAAAGTTTTTCAAAAAATTAACATCTAATTGAAGAAAATTTTTTACAAACTGCCTTTTTTGACATTTTACTCGTAAATCTATTAGTTTTATTTGTGAAACTCCAAAATCTTTTGTCGAATAAAGTGATTGAATTTGTGATATAAATTGGTTTACTGAACTTGTGATATACCAAACACATCTTAAAACAGAAGGTTAAGTGAACTCGTGGAACTCAAACTGTTACCAATTTAAACACACACACTGAACTTGTGAAACATAAATTATACAGAGAGCTTCATGAACTGTACCACAAGTCACGCTTAAACCAGAAAATTAATTTAGCGAACTTATGAAAAATTGAATTCTCTCCGTATAATAATCGATATTTCATTAGAGCGTTTGAAAATTTTCTAAATATTACTATAAAAAGTAACGGTTTAATAAGTCTATTTGAATTTTTCAAAGGCGCCTTCTAAGCTTAAAAACATTTGTTCTCTAAATTAAAATATTAAAATTTTATTTTTGAACATTTTATTCGCGTCTATTCATTTGGCTCGTCTTGTTGACATTCCCTACAACAATGCTTTCGTTTTAAGCGATACAATATCATTTACGTCGCAATTTCATTTTGCACACCTAAAGCATTTAAATTTCCAACATATACATATGTATATACCTGTGTGTATGTATTTATTTTCACATTTTAGTTTTATTTAGATACTACGTGTATGATTTGCATTTGTTGCTTTTTAAAATTTATTTATTTTGCCCGGTTTTGTAGCCGAATTATGTGCTCCGCTTTGCTTCGGCAACTATATTAATGTTAAGTGTAAATGTCAACAAATTGCGAAAAAATGTCAAAAAATTTGTCATTCATTCATCTGACTTGTGGGTACAAAGCAAATATGATTAGCACAGTGATGGTGAAGGGCAATTAGGTGAATATGAAAATAGAAAAAGTATTTCGGCATTTGCGTGTAGTGGAAAATATGTTAATTAACACTAAAAGTTTCAATTGGCGAAAAAATAACAATTTGCTAAATCAGAATTTAATTTTCTGGTTGGATTGAAATTTGATTATCTCTAAATATTTGCGGTAATTTAAGATTTTTTCCCGGTTATTGTTAACCAATATTCACATTGGACATAAATCGTTTATTTTGTTAGGCTTAAAAAAAAATTAAAACTTTATTAGCGTCATAGTGTTTGAGTGGGTATCTTTTTGGAGTTATTTCATTAAAAGTGGACTTGTGGAACAGTAAATTCAGCTTGCAACAAACACTTCTACTGAACTTGTGGAACACTAAATTCAGCTTACTATAAATACATGAAATGAACTTATGGAACACTTAGTACACCTACTAAACTTGAGAAATACTGTATTTTTCGTACGACTTCTTTGTGTTATAAACTACACTGAAGTTGGGGATCAATAAATTCTTTTATAGCACTGACCCTACCTTAACTGTACTGAAAACACTGTGAAATATGCATTTGAAAACTGTTAAAATCGTCCATACATTTTTCATAGTTTTTTATTTGTAATTTTTAGCTGCAAACTAAAGCAAGAACAGAAAAATTCCCTCCTCTTTAATATGAAAATATATTTCGTGTCTTATAAATAGTAATCACGATTGTCATGTAAAAAGTTCTCTACGGCTTGACAAGCGAATATTTAGCAAGATAAATGTTTTCATTAAGTTAGCTGTTATGCGGCAGTTTATTTTTTAGTTGTTTTATATACATACTTATGTGTTTTAAAATAGTATATTATTTACCTTCCTTTGTATTAGAAAATATTTTATTTCTTTTCCCAATTACTAAACTCACACCTCTCTTGCTTTTTTCTTCTTCCAGAGTCTGGCCGACAAGCGTGAGGACACCAATCGCTCCGAATCACTCGACGAACTTAACGCCGATCAGCTGGTGCAAGAAAAAAGCGCCGTACAACATGGTCTACTCTACTTCGAGTCACTCTACGGTCGCCCCGGCACCAAAGATGAACGCGATGCCGCACGCCCGCTCTACGATCGTTATCGTCAGCTCAAACGCATGGTCTTACGCAGCGTTATGCAATCGGGCAGCGCTGTAGCCGGCGCACCCGAATTGCCAACCATACACGAGAATGAAGCGATGGTCTTCGAATTTACACCCCACCAACTCTCATCGGCCAATAGTACTGAATCGAATTCGCCGAGCGATTCGGCAACAGCGCCAAATGCATCCTCGGACGACTCGACAACCACCACAACCGGTGCCAATACAGCTGAGGCCACAAGCACCGCCACCAACACGCCGTCATCGTTGATGAGTGCTAGTGAGAATATTAGCGCTTTAAATATCGAACAATTGTGGGAGCATTTGGAGAAGATACGTGAAGAGAAAAAGCTACTCAAGCGTACCATACGTGAGTATGAGACCATATTTGAGGAGCAAAATGGCCGTAAGATGCTGAAGAATGATCGTAAAATGATTGAAGAGACCTATGCACAGTATAAAGAGAAGAAGGCAAAGACACGCCTTTTGCAGGAGTTGATCAAGAAGCAGAAGCGTTCATTTGCCTAAGATATTCACTAAAGAAAAGTAAAGTGGCGAAAATAAGAGCGAATGTGAAAAGCTCAATTTTATTTGATTTATTCATGTGTGTGTGGCGACAACAATACAAGAAGCCATGCACAACGCGGCAAATTGTTGTAAAGCTGTGGCAAATAGACGAGTTATGCAAAAGCACGAAACTTAAAGCTTTTGCTGTTGTGGAATGTAAAGCACGAAAGTTTCATTACTGAAAGCACAGAATGGACTACTGCATACAGACAAATCTGCGTGGCAGTGCTGGAAAGCGCGCGTCGAATACATTTTGTATAAATTAAACAATTTTAAATTGTTTTCTCTTTTATATTGATGAGCACACATATTTCATGACAAAAAACCACATTTATATGTGTTAAAAACTATTTGTTATATTTATTTTATAAAATTTTTATTGTAATAATAATGATCTTATAATATTATATTTATTTTGCATCTCATTTATAAAAAAAATATATATGTATATGTATGCCTACCAAATGCTATAATATTGCGATTTATTATTAATGCATAACGCATAGCCACCAAAAAAAGTTATTTAGTTATTTAAGCTCTTGAAAAACTGTGTTAATTTTTATAAAATTCACAAACTTATAAAAAAAAATCTATTAAATTAAATTTTAGATTTTAAGTGTGAAGCACTGAAAAGAATGAAGGCGAAAGCAAAGTATTGAGCGATGAGAATATGTAATGTTTTTTTTCACAAAAATCAACAAAAAAACGCCATTTTAATGTACAAGACAAATATAAAAATGTGAAATAAAAGAACAAAAATGTGCATTGAAAGAAAAAGAAAAGCTTGAAATTATTTTTTATGAAAAGGTCAAATTTCTAAGCATATAAGTGAATAGATTTACTATTTTACGTAGAAAATTTGCAAAACTTATCAAAAATTGGGTTATTATTGTAGGAAAATACAAATAATATATTTTTTTTCAAAAATAAATATGTTGAAAAAGTAACTCCATCGAATTAAAGTTTGTTTATTCAAAATTCTTTTAAAAAATTATATTTTCTCCATAAAAATATATATTTTTTTTTTATAAAAACTGATTTTTTGATTTGATTTTTCTTCATATATGTGATGCTTTTTTTAAACATAAATATTTTACTAACGCATACATAAACTAATTTCTTCTTTATATGTATATAAACTTTTTGTTTTAAGAAGCGAAGTATTTTTCAAACTAACATTTTTTCTAAATAACTTCCTCATTTAAATAATTTTAAATATTATAGCAACTTGTTTGCGTGAATAACTTTTTTTTTAATATTTCTTTTTTAAATCATTTAATTTTAAATCATTTAATTTTAAAAATAGCTTTTTCAAAAATAAGTTTTTTCGAAACTTAATTTTTTTTACAAATACTTGTTTCCCAAAAATATCTATTTTTTCCAAAAATAAGATTTTTCAATATTAAGTATTTTTCAAAAATTACCTTTTAATATAAATTAATCGTATATTAAAAATGACTTACCTTACTTAAAAAAAAGAAGTGAATCATTTTTCAAAAATTATCCTCTTTTAAAATTAACGTTCTTTTATAAATAACTTTTATTTCCAAAATTAACCTTTTTCTGCAATAACATTTTCAAAAATAATTTTATTCTTTTAAAACATACTTTTTCAATATCTTTCTTTTTCAGGGAAAAATTGTTAACATTTTTTAACTACTGATTTTTTCAAAAAAAAAAAAAAAAAAAAAAAAAAAAAAAAAAAAAAAAAAAAAAAACGAAGCTATATTATAAAAAAAAATTGGCTTCTTTTCAAAATTCGGCTTTTTCAAAAATAACTTTTTCCTCAAATAATTTTTTTTTAGTCATAACTTTTCCGAAAACAACTTTTTCCCAAAAATTATATATTAACTTCATATATTAAATGTAACTTATTTCAAAATTAAGTATTTTTCAACAATTACATTTCTGAACAATTTTTCACGAACAACTTTTCCACGAATATTGTTTTTCTTTTCTAAAATAGCTATTTTCTGAAAATTAACTTTCTATTTCGAAAATAACTTTGTTTTCTAAACATATGAAGTTTTTAAAAAAAATAAACTGATTTAAAAACTACGTTTTTTTTTTTCAAAATAAACTTTTTTTTGGCAAATTATCTTATTTCACAAATAGCCTCTGCTCATAAATAGCTTCCTACTTCAAAAATAACTTTTTTTTTTAATTATTTCCTATCTTAAGACCATTTTTTTAACTTAAAAACTTCTAAAAAATAGTTTCCTATTTCAAAAATACCTTTCTTCAAATTGTTTTTTTTTTCATAAACTTTTTTCAATATTAAATTTTTTCAATATTAAATTTTTTCAGAAATACCTCTGTTTTTATAAATATTCTTTTTATACATTTTTTTTTGTTTTTAAAAATAAATATTTTTAATGAGGTTTTAATCTCTCCGCATAGAGAAATTTCAAAAAAAAAAAAAATTATCAATCTAAATATATTTGAGCTGAGAGCAAATTACTTCTGTGTATCGAACACTGTTATAAAATACAGCAATTCTAAAATTCTAAACTTAAGAAAAATTTATAAAGTTTGATCAAAAAATTGTTATGTAGAGGCCTCTTGGTAGAATTCTCTTTAAAAAAAAAATATTATAATTTCAATGAGAAACTTCCTTTCGAATTATTTAAAGCTTTTTTTACAATATAATGAAATTGTAAAATAAAAATTTATTATTATGAAGGTTTTAATTGTTAAAATTGTTAACAAAAAATTTTGGTTAACGTGTTTTTACTATAATTTTCATTAAAAAAATAGTCATTATGCACATTTCTTATTACTTTTTTATTGTATTATTTTTGTGCGAAACAATTTTTTTACATATTTTAATTATTAAAATATAATTGTTTCTGGTAAGAACGCTTTAAATATTTAATGAATTATTTTTATACTCAAAACAAGTTAATATTTTATGCACTAATTAAAATTTATTTTTTTAAACTCACAAATCATTTTTGTTATAATTTTGTATAAATATATTTAGAAATATATTTTAATATTAGTTTGCTAACATTTGACATAATTTTTTGAATTAAACTACCCAATATCTCTTATTTTTTCTAAAAATATATTTGGAAATTTTTACAATACAATGTGAATATGAAATTTGTAGAGAATTTCTCATTCAAAACATAATTTTTAAAAAAATTATAAATTTAAAAAGTTTCGTATATGTATTTTTTTAATTTTTTCATAATTAAAATTATATTCGAAAAAATGTTTCTAAATCCACTGGATGAAAAGTTGTAGCGACAGTGCAGAAACAAATTTTATTACGACTAATTTAAATATTTTTTAATCAAAAAAACATGTCTGCATGAAAATGATATAGTCCAAGCGATTAAACATTTAACTATTTGAAAAGAAATTATGCAAACAATAAATAAATAATGTATCAACACTTGATGTAGTAAAAAAGACACATAAATATTCAATTGAATGAAGTGCTATTGATTGCCATAAACTCGTATAGTGAACATTTGTAACAATTTACTAATGATAAATGCAAATAAATATTATAAATGTAGCAGCAAGCATATAAACATATACACATACTTACATGCATATACACATATATTTCTATACAAAATATAACATTTATGCGCATTAATTGCCAAACTAATTACATGTTTATATTATTTATATGTCGTTTATTGGTAAAAGAAAAGCGAAAAAAAAACAAACAAAAAACAAAAGCAAAAGAAAAAATATTTCGCATTGTTACACACATACACAAATGCACATGGTTGCTGTGTAAAGTGAGCTGAATGAATATTTGTAAAGCAAATTTTGTATAATGCTTTGGATAGGCTATATACATATGAATATATTAATACATATTCACATAGTCTTATATACGGGTAATTGTTTTTCACTTTCTTTCACATTGCAAAAACAAACATATGTATACAATGATATAACAATACATTTTGAGCATAAGCAAATATTATATATAAATACATCTATTTACATACGCATACCAACTTTCCCACATACATACACATTATTTATGTTTATTACTCATTATATATATATATATATAAATAATAATTATGATTGTTATAAATACCAAGTAAATAGTAAAAATCAAATTACAAATTGCAACAATTGCAAATATTTTATTGTAAACGCTAATGATATGATGACGATGTTGTAGAAAAATAATAATAATAACATAATAATAATAATAATAATAATAATAATAATAATAATAATATGCTGTTAAAAGCAATTGACATTTGCCTATGAGTACTTACTTATGATTAAAAAAAAAAAAAACGAAACAAAATACAAACAAATGAATATTCAAATTACATAATTCTTTTTGAAAGAAACCATTTATCGTGTATTGTGTTTTATTTATTGTTGTTGTGTCCCTTTTTTAACTTCAACTTGGTTGCTTTGGTTTTTTTCGCTCACGGCGTTTTCGAAAATAGCAGGTTTTGTAAGTATTTCAGTTGCATACATACCTGTTTATAGCTAAACAGTTATAACCTTCAAATATTTTTTAATTTTTTTCTTTTAAAAATGGTATGCTTCGCTTAAAGTATTGTGAAGTTTTCGAAAATTAGTTATCTTTATACATATAATTTGGTAATTCATTTGTTCCCCCCTCAAAATTGTTCTTTATTTATTACTATTCTTTATTTATTATAATTGTTCTTTTATTATATTTTTTTTTATTTTATTTATCATTATTTTTTTTTTTGTTTTTATATTCTTTTTTTTTTTAATTTTATATATATAATATTTTAATTAATTCAATTTTTCTTTAGTATTTTTTGTTTTAAATTTTTTATTATTTTAATTTTATTCATGATAATATATACATTAATTTAAATTTTTTAAGTTTTTTTCTTTGTTCAGCATGTGTTTTTTGATTTATAATTTTTTTGTATATTTTTTAATTTTGTTTATGCATTTATTTATATCTTTTACATGTTTTAAATCTTCATTTAAATTTACTTATTTCCTAAATATGTATATAAAATTAGTTTTCCTATTACATATATTTTATTTTTTATTTTTAACAGTTTTTTCTTTATTTCTCTTTATTAATTTTATATATATAATATTTCATTTTTCATCTTCTATTTATTATTAATATTTATTTCTTTTTTTCATACTGTTTTAATTCTATAGATATATAATTTTTATTTACTATTTTTTTATACTTTTTTTATTGTTATTTTTTAATTTTATATATACAGTGGACGGCTCGGGTTCAAATCCACTTGCGACCAACATCCAAAAGTTATAGAAAATTAATTTAAATAGAAAATTAAGCTGAATTTCTAATTGTGGTCGCACCTCGGCAAGGAATGCCCTCCCCTCCGAGTATATTTAGGACATGAAATAAAAGTTCCAAGTAAAACAACCACTTAGCATAAACTGTAAGTCCCTCCATTTGATGGAAAAACATCAAGACGCAAAACCACAAATCGGAGCAGTAGCTCGGCCGAAAATCGCTTCAGTGGTTACAAAGCGCCAATTTTATATTATATATAATGTATAGTGTTTTATTTTTAACCTTCTATGCGTTATTATTTTTATAGCTTAAATTTTATAGATACATAATTTTTATTTATTGTTATTTTATATTTTTATTTATTAATGTTTCTTAACAGTTATTTTTTAATTTCCTTTATTTAGTTTTTAAATTTTTATTGTTTCATAACATTTGTTTTTGCTAATATTTTTTTATTACAATTTTTATATGTTTATAAATTTATCGCTTATTTCTTATATATATATATATATCTTTATTAGTTAATTAATGAAATTCTGCTGAAATTTATTATCACTTTAATTTGTCTTCTTTTATTAATATTTTTTAATTTGTATCCTTTCATTTTCAATTATTAATTTTTTAATTTTATATGTACGTATATATTGTATATATATATTATTTCGATAAATTGAATTCTTTATATATTATTTTTTATGTGTTTTATTGCTAATATTTTTTTCTTTAATTTACTTTCGATATTTAAATTTTCTATTTCTTATTAT